GTGTATATCAAAGGAACACATTGAGCTTTAAGTAGCGAGGCGTCAAACGCTCAAGTGGGCACACTGGAGAGGAGCAAGAAGGTGCATACCAATGTCATTTACCTGAGTCTGGCCAGTTCCAATCTGTCGATAAAACTGTGCTAAGTTTATAAATAGCCAAATTCACCACCTCGTCCTCCATCTCCTCCACCAACCTCTCAAGGCATTTCCAAAGTAGACGAAATAATTACATATGCACGAAAGGCTAATTGGCTGCTGACATTCCTACCACCTTGCAAGGTGTAAAGCACTAGCCAATCAATTTTCGAATTGACTCACCTCCAGAGAGGACACAGAGAACGATGTAGAGACCAATAGCATCCTTTGATCTAAGAAAGGGTAGACCACCAGGAGTGGCTGGAGTAGTCTCTCTTGGTGGTGGAGCATAGGGATCGTTTGCTACCCACAGCTGAGCAACAGGAAGGGGCAAGTCGACCGACTTAGTGTCCAACGCAGCCTTCAAAGTGAGTGCCGCCTGATGAATTGATTCGTAGATCTCCCCAGGACTGGCTTGAAAGCCTTCGGGTAAGAGATCGATCAGAAAAGTGACCTACAAAGAGTAATTTCCTATAGACTTTCAGTAACATGTATTGAGTCGTAGAATATGGGCAGGCACGCACTTGGATACGTCTACCGCCATCCACTTCAAAAATGATGGGTTGATGATTTTCTTCATCAATAGTAGGACGAACAACAGCACGAAGAAGATCCGCTATGTGAGCTAAAATTGTCCGTTCTAGCGTTGAATAGGTGGATCTATCGGTGTCAATAATGAGGCCTATGTAACCCGTCCGAATATTGTCAACTTGGGAAGAATAGGAATCAATCTTGGCCAAACAGTCGCCGCCGTCAAATCCGCAAACAGGGATGTTACATTCCGGCTGGCAGACGCCATCACCGTAGACAGAAGTACAGTTTTGCTCCAAAGGACAGGTGGACCTACAAGAGTGGAAACACTACTCATTAGCAGTGAGTACCGATTGATGAGACTGGTTGGCATTTAATAAGGGCGAAAAGAGAGGCAAACCGCACCATACCGCATCACATGAAGAAAATTCCACCGCACGTGTATGCCTAATTAGGCACCCAGAGAAGGGGCTGAATATTCTCACGTTTTCGCAATTTACGACATCTTTCAGTAAAAGTAATAAAAAACACCAGGCAGGAACACACTGGTTTGATCGACTTGCAATGACACTAGCGCTCCTACGTGTGTGCCATTCAAAAAGGAAAATTTATTACTTTATAGATGGTGTATATTGCAATAAGTAAAAAAAACTGACACAACAGCCCAGTCATGAGCAAATCGGTCCTGTCTTCAAGTCATGTCTACGTTGTGAGAGCTACGCAAAACATCGTCTTAAGTAGGTAAATAACAAACGGACCAAAAATCATCGCTCCTGCTCTTCAACTGAATGATGTGGTGAGCCTTCCTTGAGCATTGCGTTAAATCGTATTCGTTCAGCCAAACTACGAAACGAGACATTTCTGCAAAAATTTGACATTTTAAGTTGAATTAATTGAACGGATTGCCCTTATAACACCACTTTGAAACTGTTCATGGATTGATAATAAAAGTGAGACAAAAATCACGCCTTTTTAAAGTCTCTATAAGTAAATAGCTCTATTTGTCCATCATGGAAAGCCAATGTCAAAAAAAAACTGACAAAACAACCTCAAAAAGCCGGTATTAACTCAAATAAGGAACATGCGATTTTCCTTTCATCCCTCATTTTGGAATGACTGTTTGTGCTTCAGCGCCATAAAACACGCCTTGGAACAATTTTCAAAACACTTGTTTTCCTTTTCATCAATTCATCATCTTCACGTTTTAATCTCAAATGATTGCTGGAGTTTGACCGATATTTTCAAGAGGTCCCAGTTACCTGGCAAAAGCGTTGATAGCTACAAAAGCAGTGAAATGGATGTGTCGTATCAAATTAAGCCAAAGCGTACTATCGTCACTAAGTGAGTAGAAATGACTCAAAATAGAAAAACTTACGTAAGAGATGTGTGAAGAAATGAACTGCCAGCTAGTCTTGTCGAATGAGAGAGTTTGACTGAATGCGCAACTACGGAAAACTGCTGGTGGATGGGGATGCGAAATAACAGTACACTGTCCAAATACCACCTTCGACTAGTTTATTTTTGAACACAAGGAATGCCTTATGAACACACAAGAAGCCGTGTGAAAATAGACGCATTTGCACTGCCTGCCTGCTTTCCCAAACAATCAGAGTCATCTGTCCTTTATATTGCAATATTCATTTGAAAGATGGTTACAGATATGATCGCACATGGTACCCGCTGCCTAAGGCGATTGTTTTTTCGCATAATTGGAGTCGGTCTCATATAAGTCTCTTCACCTGTAATCCACATGGATCTTTTAACAGGTGTCACACTGCCCTCACAAAATAACGCATCTGTGAATGTATAGACATTTCGTACTGCCTTAGCAGTGAAACTTTCCGATCGAGGTAAGAAACAAAGTTCGGCATTAAATTGCAATAGAATTCTCCAGATTGGACGACGTTTTGTTTTGATCATGATTACTTAAGTACACATTGGTCATTCATATCGCTGATGCAACACGCCACTTAC